ATGGACAAGAGTAACCAATTCATAGGTCGTTTCGCATGAAATAACTTATGAATCTATCGCTTGCCACCTAATAGTATTGTGAATACATTAGACAATTAATTGCTTCCCATCTAATATTCGCTCTCATTCACTATCAGGCAATGCTTAATCTCGAATGCAAGCGAATTAGGCACAGGTGATGCAACTAGGCTGCGGAAAGATTAAATATGGTATCTGTAACCTAGGTTTTGAGGACGGAGGAGTGATATGTAAAGGCAAATCTACTGAAGAATTTTTTATCTTTGAATTTATGAAAGAGTACAAGTCAGCGAAGTTCATTATTAACCTTTAAGCGTGAAGAATCAAGATTTAATATACCCATCAATGTAAAGCTTGCATGCAGTATGGCCATGCCCTCTTGAGCTTGCATTATCAGTGCCACTTGCGCAATCCATTTGTTAAGAAATACTCTTCTATGTAGGGACGCACCTTTTCCGGAGTCCATACTGTGGATGATAATTTAGAAAGTCGGACCGTGGACTTGGTACATTGCCAGACGTTTCGCCGACATCGTCAATTTCTTTGTATTACTTCTCTCGGGTATCCGCTGCCGGGGATATCCTGGTCTGGGACTGTATCAAGTCCACGTTCCGACTGAAAATGATCATGAATACTATGGACTCTAGACAAGGTGCTTTTCCCTAGGTCTTCCTGCCAATAAGACCAAGTTGTGAAAATAAATATCGAAAGGAGACTGCGACGAAAACAGAAGCCACAACATCTTGGTCTTCGTATCTACGTTTCTATATATTTTACTTTGTTTACTGCCAATATTCTAAAATAATTGTCAACTAGTCTTAGCCGACTATGAGGCCGACAAAATTTCTGGGAATGCCCCAAATCCACGAATTGGCTCTGGAAATTCTCATGACTATTGTGGCGGAAGACTGGACAAGACGAGTTTATCTAAGCCTTTCTGGCAACATGATTCAGGTGCCAAAGCGCGATCAAACCGCTTCTAGACATCCCACATGATCAAAAGATGAATCTATAAATTACTTATCTGACAGTTGGAAACTCTAAATTGAGCCTTAAAGTTTACAATAGCTGGAAGGGTTTTATACTTATCGAAAACTATGTTAGTCATTTAGTTGTAAATTTGGTGATGGGTACCAGTTGATGCAAGTATTTAGCAATGACTTCCAAGAGAGGCGATCTTAAAGCTTTATATTGTACTGCTTCGAATGGCGATGCACGCAATATGGAAATGCCTTACCTTTTACCTGATGTAGAACTCCGATTTTGAAAAGAATCATTCTTGCTTGCAGTTGTCTTGAAACATTTTGCTCGTTGTCACTAGTGACAACTTCCTAAATAAGACCGTAAAGAATGTTGGTATTTTCATTTTCTCACTTGCTTTTAGCCGCCTTCACCTTTCAATATCCGATTTTATCTTTTCATTTCTTCTGTGCTCCAACACATCTTACACATCTATCCCTATTGCCAAAATTTCACATTCACCTAACATCCATCCAACACTACACTTGCTAACCGGTACAGAGCTGGCCAGCAATCGGCGCCATGTTGAGGGTCTAATGAATCAACTTGAGTTGGCAACCAAGGAGTTACACTTGGCACATAATGCCTATGTGATTAGCTCGCATCTGGGCCAGCACTTCTTCGCTTGGTGCTCCGGCCAAATGAGACCCTGTCTGTTAGCCGGCATACTTAGGACCCTTCGGCTGGCCTCTTCGGCAACGTAAACCATTGTTTTTCACGGTTATTTTACCAGTCTAAAAGCATAAATATATTTCTGATTTTTTATGTTTGTATATTTATTACATCTGTTTTTACTAATATTTTCTTATTTTGCACTTCGTCACTTTCGCATTCCTCTTATTTTTTTATATTCTTTTCGAAATCTCTTCCCCCACTCACTCACCAAATAAGATATCTCCTTACTTCATTTCTCTTGTATCACCTCCGAAATTTCACCCTGACCCTTTAATCCATTTTCGCATACGCACTACGTATCGCCTCTTAGCATTTACTAAACAACGTATGTCCGCAAATAGAGTAACTGCGATTTAAAAATGAAATAAATAATAAATGAATGAAAAATGCTTAATATAACGATTTTAAACTATTCTGCTCTAATACCGCCAAGTTAATAGTTTGCTCCATCGACGTGTATGCGCATTATAAATGTTAGCTGGGAGGGGCTTGTATTGTCTTGTAAACTAAATCTACCTCAGGATTCAGGCTTGAGATTTGTGTAAATGAGTAGGTTTTTGTTTGAGGTGATGAAGGAGTGAAAAACCGGATGATATTGTATTGCCATTTGGCAAGTACGATGACTCGCTTTCTAATCTTGTTTTAAGTCCTGATTAGAAACGAATAAGAACGTAAATTCTTCCGCTCTTGGTTCAGAAAGTCTTTTTGGGATTCGGTGAAATTCATCATTCATTCCTTATTCATCTGGCTTTAGCTAGCAATTATGGTTCAAATCCTGCTGCCAAGGATTTACTAATTACTTCCAACCCTTTTAAACTACACTGCACATGAGGAACTTAAACCAAATAATCCGTATTTTGGAAGAGGAAATATAAGAACCTGCATGTAAATCATCCCGTAATGATCTTTAATATGAAAATTATTCTAAAAATGTTCTGAATTATAATCACTTCATAATTGGGTAATTTTCGCCGATTCAAGCTATTGACCTGTGGCGCTTTCCGCTTCATTTCAAACATAAAA